ACCAATCTGGACATTAAAACAAACATCTTGATTAAACTAAATCCACAGAAATCAGAGAATGGCATTCCAGAGGAACATTCTCGATCCTTTCCCAGTAAGATGGCAAATGGAAAGATATGGTCTGCATAAAAGATTCCCAGGTATATGGTTAGATAAGCAGCTTGACAACTTAGTTACTGCCAAGTATAAAGAGAGAGACTTTTTTCAACTGCTCAAAGTAGAAATTATCATTTAAGCATATCTGTCTCCAGTTATCTTGCTTTATAGTGTGCGTACATCTATATGGACCTAAACTCTTTTTTACATTTACCTTCATTAAGCTTGTGTTAATGGTCATTTCAATATAAAGAGTAAAACCCAACTCATGACACTTACACTGTACCCATGTATAGCTGTGAGCCTCCCTACAGCTCCCAACACCCTATAGAGTCCTCTATTGCCTAGGACAAGAATTAGTAAGTGTGTCTGGAACCTGGCAGATACCAAAGGTTCACTGAAACGTGAAAGGATAACAAGGAGACAGTCTGAGTTCTGCAGGCTTGTCAACGAGGTAAAGAAACCACCAATTAACTATCATGTCCATGGCAGAAGCCTTTAAGTTCCAGAAAATGGAAAACCTGCTTCATACTATATAACATGCCAACTTGCTGCAGTGCAGCACAGTGGTTCCCAAACCTATTCTTAGCTCCTGCTGTATTCCTGCTGGCCCTATGAAGCAGGCTGCCTCCCATCACAGCAACTTCCTACCAGTCAGCTGATCCCTGATATCTCACAGTACCTGCAATACAGGAACCTCTGTGCAAATAAGTTCCAACAGAAACTAGAATACAGCAACTCATACCACCCCCACCCCCAAAAAAGGGTGGTACTTTGGCATACCAGCATGTGCAGATCCAATACACACACTGACTGCAACTGCCTGTTCTGACTCCCAGTATCACAGCAGCCACAGCATTCCACTGCGCAAGCACGCCAGTCACAATGTCAGAATTTCAATCAAAGCTTAAGCCAATGTCAGTTGCTCCAACAGTTTATCCTTAAATCCCTTTTTTTTTTTTTTTAATTCCTTTTGAGTTGCTACTTCACAAAATACAGTCCTCAATTAAGTATAAGCCTTACTGTCAAAGTGAAATCTTGGCTTCAGTGAAGTCACCAGCAAAAACTACTACTGCTTTTAATGAACTCAGATTCATATTTTGTTGTATGAGATTCACATGACAAAATGCAGACATTGACATCCACATTAACCACCTAGCTTCCCCTGATCAGCAGTGAAGAAAAACAGACACTTTTAGACTCATCTTCTCCTAGAGAAGACACCTAAAATAGGTTGACTGATTTATACCCAAAAACGCTTTTTTACCTCCTCAGGCTGAAACAAAGATTTAAGTGACAAGCTCTATATTGCAGATATCTAAAATAAGCAGGAAGAAACCCACACACAATTTTATTCTTGGTTTTCAGATGAAAACACAACTTGTGTAAATCAAACCAAGCATACCACATAATACAGACTGCTCTGTAGAAAAGACCAGAATACATAGTTATTCATCACTCCTTCACCAGGAAGACTCCAAATATTTAGATATCAGACAATGAGATGGAAAGTTGGAAATGTTAACTGTCCATATGACCAATGAGCTGAAATAAATTTTTAAAATAACTTGATCAGGTTCTCTGGAGATCCCATAAGATTAGCACATTTTTGATACTGCGATAACTGATAATTGATTTTCTTTTTGAATTAAGTTACTTCAGCTATTCTATATATTTTCTGTACGGTATCATTATACTTTAGTATCTCTTCACAGATTAAAAATGAACAGAACAGTAATAATTTTGTTTCTCTAAAGTTTCAACATACTGATTGTATTCTTTGCTACAACAGGATACACTCACTGATTTATTCAATGTCACCTCTTCCCTCTTATGTCTTTGGTTCAATTACTTAAATAGGATTTACATTCTCACTATGGATAAATTTCCTGTATTTTCACCCACCTTCAAAAATGTCTTCTAATTTTCCTCCTAATTTTCACCTTGCCTGCCAAAACTAACATTCTGTTTGTAACCTCTGAACTGGATTCCCAGGAACAGAAGAGGAAAAGCTTGTGGCCTCTTATGCCATCATATACAACAGTACGTTTTTTTCCTTGTTGTCTTGTCAACACTGGCTGTTCCCAACAATGGATATTGATTATTCAGACCGTAATTCCCTTAATTTTCCTTTCTTACTGTTCCTAGTTAATTATCTTACATAAAACTATGCATCATATCTCCTAGCATGCCTCGAAGGAGAATATCAGACTACTGACAGATGGAAATACATCAATGAAACACAAACAGTAGAGATACAATACAGGAAAATCTAGATCGTAACAGTAAATCTGAAACTGAAAATTGTAAAATATGCAACTATCAGACAATGGCCATGCTTTTTCCAAAACAAATTAAAACTATTATCTAGAGCTCCTTTAGATTTCAAATATTTAAAAATAAAATTTATAAATTTCCTAAGGAAAAAAATGCTAAATATTGAATGCATACAACCAGTGGAAACCTTTCCAAATTCTACCAGTACCACAACTTTTGCTGAACTCTAATCATAACAATGTTTTCCAATAACTTATTGAAAGAGATTGCAGTAACTCTGTAACACATGTATTTTTACAAAAACAAAACCTATTTAAATAACAGAATGTCAGAACAGTGCCAACAGGACTCTTGCATTTGACATCTGTGAAAAAGAACATGCACCTTACACATACACTGCTTTGCTTGAGCAAATTTATCCCCTCTACAGTTACCATTTCTATCTTTCTTCTCAGTGTTAAATATATATTTTTACTTGCTATCCATAGCAAATTTCATTTTCTAACTTATTGGTGTGCTTCTCCCATTTTCTAGATTAAATAACTTTAACAGCCTGGTTACCCTTCAGTTCAATGAAGAATATAAATTTGACATAATCTCCATTAGGCAGTGCATATTTCGGAGATGAATCCCAGCATTTTTTTTATGCATACCCTCATATCTTGTAACCTACACAATTTTCTAAAACCTTTCTCTCGCTTCACTCTTTATCTTTACTGCTACTATGCAACATGAACAAAGGCTCCTTCTCAAAGAGGACCAGCTAATGTTCAAGGTCCCTTCTAACCTAGGCATTTCTAGGGTTCAAAACACAGAAATCTTTACAATATTTCAAGAGACAATTACTAAAATTAGTATCTTGATAAACCATAGACTTTGTCCTGGAACCATATTTCAGTATATTAAAGACTGTTTATTATTCTATTTCAGTGTATTAAACTCTGTTTCAGTATGTTACAGGCTATGAAGCCTTTTTTGTGTCGTGACACTTTTCCTATAGCTGATACTTCTTTCCAAAAGAAGGACTCGATAGCTTCTTACAAGATATTCTTTCAAAATACACTCCGTAATGAAGACTCAATTCATTATAAAAAAAGAGTCACAATTGTCAAAATCAATTTTGAATATAAACAGCAATTTGTTCTTACAAGTCAGATACTTGTAAGTATGCAAACACTGCCTTAGTGACAACTAAGTAACAACCTCTAAAGCACTGATTTTAGTCTTCATTTTAAGAAATACTAGAATTCATATTAAAGGAAATGCTTCAGCTACCCTTCAGGTGACTTACAAACTATGCTTTTAATTGGTACATATGAAACAAATGCAAGGTAGTGATTCTAAAGATGATATGGACCCCAAATTGCATCAAAGCTGGTATATCTGCAATGGGTTGTAAAATTTTCTCTTTTTTTTTTTTTTTTTTTGGTGGATTGAATGAGTTGTCTTGCTGGTTACAGAACCATGTCTTCGTCCCATCTTACTTGTGTCATGTGAACTCTATCTGCTCCTCACAGCGTTCTGAGGTACCAAGGTGCTGCTTTAGTCCAGACCTGTACTGCACTGAGCAGCCAAACAGAACACAAAGATCAGACTTCTACCTGCCAGTAAAAGTAACTTTCATCTAGCCAGCCATTTGCTTTTACAAAATTTTTAAGAACTGAATACTTTTTGATACCTACCCCACTTTAAAATACAGCTGAAACCTGTGAGTGAACTCAAAAATCAGTGGAAATGACTACATCACAGACTAACAGGCAGCATGATTGTTTTAAGTGACATTTCCTTCAGAAACCAGACCAAAAGAACACTCATTTCAGAACCTGTACCATCAATGTGCTGATGAAAAAAGAAAATGAGTTGTGGCAGAAAAAGGTAACTGGAAAATACACCACGTCCATCTACTCAACAGTTTATAATATATACTACATATTGTTTTCAATCAATTATAATCCAAGATTTCTATTCATATTTATGGTAACAAGGCAATAAGGGAATTAATATCTTGATTACTCAATAATCTGGAGATCTAATGCAGATAATTATTCAACTCAGTTCACCCTGAGTTTAGTGAATGGTTTTCATTTTCTGGAAGAGTTTATTCTCCTTCAAGAACACCAAATTATTTTATTTCCCACTACCAGTTTGAAAAGATTGGTCACTATTTTAAGTTAGTTCTACAGTAGAAAAGAATACACTGAATATAAAATTCTTATACACAACTTATTTATTCAGGAAATATCACTTCACATTAGTATCAACCTCACAGTTTTCTTTATAATTAATATTTATGTCTAAGATAACTAAGTCTTGATGCTTAATCTTTTTCCACAAAAAAAAAAAAAGCTTCCTTAATGTTAGTGAATCAGTGTGCAAAGAAATATTATTATACAATGAGGAAAATATATATACATAAAAGATGCTGGAGCCTTTCCATTTCCTCCCAGTTTTCACCACCAATATATCTGTACACATGAATGAGAACAACTGTAGGAAAATAATTAAAAGCCACTGGTAACTTAAGATCTGAAATCTTTCTGGAGGAACTTAATTTAACAGTACAGTATTTTTAAAAATCCTACTCATGATTTATTTTATAACCACAAAAGTCTAAAATCTGTACTTACTTCAACATCTGTAAATAACATTTGCTCAACGTTATCACTGTTTTTCTCCTTGAGATCTGGTGGGATGTTTCTATTTCTTACTTGGAAGTGTGTTTTACTAATATAACCATCACCAAGGTCCTGTTTTCAGAAAACAAGAAAGAAAAAAATTTCTGTAACAAAATCCTAAATGCCATCACTGTGCTAAAAAATAAACAGAGCATGATATTCAGGCATAAGGTCCAAGTCTTTTTATAGGCACAGATGACTGCATTGCTTTTCAGCATCTTCTCACAGGTAGATTACACTAGTTTTGGTGTTAAAGGAAGTCAAAGACCTGAACTGTACAATTAAAATTTAATATAGCTATTAACTGAATAAGACAACTGCTACCTGGGTAACAGGATGAGTGACAAAGAACTGGAAGACAGTGCACAAAGGTCATGAAGAGATGAGCAGCTATTAACAATTTTCACCTATCTACTTCAAGCAATGCATTCATGCCAGCATAAACTAACCATTTCTTGCTAGATTGGTTTATTTTTGCTCTGTTCTCCCTCTAACTTCCTTAAACTCCTGAAATAAAACAAAAAAAACACTTCAGAACTTACATGTGCAGAGTTACAATTTGTTCCCTTCTCTTGATCACCTCTGAGGGTCAAATGTAAGAGAAAACAGACAGAGTTGTACCTTCTCCCAGTTCCCTTTTTATCACTCTGCGTCCCATGGTACATGGTCTACAGTTGTAGAAGGCCATGGTGCAATTTCAGAGTGGCAGGAAGTTTTAGGAGCTCTCCCCCCTTGCTGACTTCACTATCTGCACACATATATAAACTTTTTTTTTTTTTTAATTAGAAGAGGAGAAACAAAGTTTAATAACAGATCACTGGAAAAACATATACTCTGAAAGGAAGAAAGACCATACAGAACACAAGGAACAGTAGTTGCATGTTAAGAACTTATTTCTCAAAGGAAACAAATAAATTGGGGTTTTATTAGCTGTTTCATTATGTTTTATTTTAGACAAACATAGAAAGCATATGCACAGCATCTGATGAAAAAGGATTCTATTCAAAACAGTCTCTCTACAAAATTCATTAACATAGCATTAAATTGCTTGAGAAGGCTGCAAATTTAACTATAATTTAACTCTTTGGTTAATCTGTCATTGCTGACACAGTTTATTCCGTGTATTCTGTCCTTTAAATCAACACGGGTTTTATTCTGACACACTATTTCTCTCTTTTCAAGGACACTGTACAGTATATGTACCTCCAAAATCTGCTATGGGCTACTTGTTTACTTTGTTTTTACCAAGTTTCACACATTAAAAATTATACTGCTCTCTACATGTTATTTCTGTCCATGAATTTTTAAGCATGAATCATACTATGAGCAATTACCTTGCTTGTAACTTCTCCTACTGCATGCTTTGTTTTCTCACTAAATCTCATCAAGAGTAGGAATCCACCAAACTTGCCTGGATGTCCTGGTTGCAGAACCAACTGCATCCTGTGCAATGAAGAATCAAGCATGCAGAGGACAACAGTAACAGAAAAATTAAGCCTAACTTGGTGATACAAAAGCCATTTCTCTTACTCTCAACACTCTCTAAGTCTCTCCTTGTGGAGCTTCCTGTAAGTGTCCGCAGGAGTAAAGCTACCTGAGTTGGTATTTATCCCAAGAGCAGCAAGGAAAGTACTACAGCCACCCACAGAGGTAAAATGCCCCAAGGCACAATGAGCTTTGCCAGAGAAGGGTTGGATATAACGCTCACCTCCCTAAACCAGTTTTTCCTGTCAGCAGAAAGGAGCGAAGCTCCATGGCATCTGCACTCCATAGTATTTGAGTGCCATGAAAAAATAGCTATGGATAGCTGAAAACGTGGAGTTAGCAGCCTCTGTATTTGATAGCTGTATGTCAGAGGCTAGAGGAGAGGTGCCAGGAAAGAGAAGTATTCATCTTGTTCCACTCACTGTAGTGTTATGTATTTTGTACACTTCTGCCCCTATAAATGAATCAGTATTTTAGCAAGGACTTTGATCCCATTAATGTGGAAATGTAGTCCATTTCTACTCCGGCTGTCTTGTGAGTATCATACGCAAAAGTGAAATGATATAGCCTTTGATATGATTACCTAGATTAACCTAACTAAATATGAAACAAACATAAAGCAGGAAGCAAACAGGGGACAGCCTTCACAGACGAGATTTAACCTTCCATCCCTAATAACAGCACCCAAGTTTAGCTCCATCAGGTCCTATTGTAGAGGTGTTCCTGGCTTTTTTACAGCTTTCTTCTGGGGGGGGGGAAGAGGAGGATTATAAAAAAAACATTGTTTAGAACATTTAATGTACAGCTATAAATACCAGGTTCTGCTTGGGCCATGTGAGCTTATGCCACAAGAGCCAGCTCGACAGTAACAATGAGTATTTCATCATCTAAATTTGATCTCTACTGAAAGCACAGGAACACAAGAACACAGTTCTACAAGCCTGGTTTACTTGTGTGGTCTTACTGCTATCAATGGGTCTATTCACGTGAGTATGGAATGAGGAACAGGATCCAAGTGCATTACATCAGCAAAATTAAGAGTGCCCCAAACTACCCACCACACATATATCAGTAAAAAAAGAAAAAGACAATGAGACAACTTGTTAATGAAAAGCTTCCTTCCCAGACTGCATACTATAAATGGATGGTCTCAATGGTCAGGTTTTTATCACAGAGTGAAATCAGTCACCAACTTGATCCATTAAAAAAAAACCTCTTACAATTTTTTTATATGTGAGAACAAAAATCTATCTCATTCTTCTATTTCCAGCAAAGCTTCTTATTTCACAGAAAGTTCAAACTTTGACCCACGTATTAAATTCCCAATAGAGGCTCAGAGCATCTTTCTTTGTTGAATAAATCCTCACAAATATAGCCCCGGACTGAAATCTGAAGTTTCAAATGGTTGCCTGTAAGAAAGGGTACATTGTAACACTTGGCTAATATTTGCACTCTTTTAAAAACTTCTAAACAGAATGCATCTAAGGACAAAATCCTGCTTCTTACTGAAATGCTGTTTCATCTGTGATGAAAGGGTTACAAATGCTAATGTACAATTACTGATGTAGAAATGAGAAATGATGGCATACATTTACTCCAGGAACGCTTGCATTTCAAAATGGTACAAGCATGATTCTTCTCGCCAAAACTCATGAAAGCATGGGAAACCACTAAAGCCATTAAAGTAACAGGAAAAAAAAAAAAAAAAAAAAAAGGAAGTTGAGATGAGCAGTACATCTTCTACAGCAGAAAGAAGAAACTGCCCACCCATCAAATAAAGTGTAGCAAAACCAAATCTTAGAATAGTGTGGATTAATTATTAGATGGAAAATAACAGAAGCATTCAAAGTAGACAAAGCAAGTATTCAAAGTATTTCTGTTATTAAAGAACAAATACAAATTATGCAGCCATCAGCCCTAACTATTATGAAGTTTTCACTTCAGCAGTGGTTAAGCAGGACATTAGCACAAAGTGGCTATCACTAGGCATTTTTAAATCAGTAGGTAAGATCTGCTAATTTTCTTTAAGTCTTTAAGCACTGTAGAAATTTCAGAGAACTTTCAAAAAGCCAGCATTTATCAATATATCTTTATATACTAATTTGTGGAACTATACACATATTAGCCTGATACAATTCCAAACAAAATAACAGATGTCATACAGAATTCAGTAAATAAAGAAATATATATGGTAAATGTAGTTATTTTTTAAGAAAAACAGGTTTTGTCAGTATAACTAAAAAAGACATGTATGGCTGATAAACATAAGAGTTATAACAATATATGCTCAGACTTCCATAAAATAACTGTTGATTTCACAAGCAGAAATTCAAAAACTATAATAATACCACACTAATCTGACACACATTAAAGGATGAAAAAAATCATTAATTCACAGATCTCAAATGTGACTTAAAAATGGGGAATCATCATAAAAGAAGTGATTCTAATGGGGTCCTGTGGGACTAGTCTTGGCCCCACGCTATTTAAATTTTGATTAATGACCTAGAAACAATATGTAATTATTATTGGTGAGGCTTGAAAGTTATGGGGAAGCAGCAAATAATGAGGATTGATTGTTAATACAGACAGATTCTTCTGGTTGCTGTATGCAACTAGCATGTATTTTAATACAAAATATTAAGTCACACATCTAGAACAAAGACTATGTGCTATTTCAGCTTAAAGGGTTGAAGTGATCCTTGAATATATAACCACAACCACTTGCCCGAAGTAGGAACACTTGAATTTCACAGTGATACAACATTCATTGTCTAGTTCTACTCACAGTTGAAAAAGGATTTTAATATACTGGAAAGGATTCAGAGGAGATCCACAAGACTGATTAAAATATTGGAAAAGACATCAAATAGTCATGGAGCTTTTACGCTGACATGGTTAAGGGATTAACTGATCTGAAACTAACATACCAAAAGAGGGAGAATTCTGATAAAAGGGTCCTCAGCTTAGTAGAAAAGGTACAGCTACCCATGGCTGGAAGATGAAGCTAGGCAGTTAAGATTAAAAGTAACTTTTTTTTTTTAATTCAATTTTAATCATACCTAAACATTCAAAAGGCTTGTTGAGAGCTGTAACTGTTTCCTCATTATTGGGAATTCTGAAAATGAAGACTGCATAATGTCTTAAAGGACATTTTCTGATCAAAACAGAAATCATCCCAGGTAATCCTACCCCTTCGTTACACAAGTTGCACAAGGCCATCCCAGCAGTTGTTTCTGGATTCATGTTCCCTATTCAATACACATACTGGCCTAAACCCTCAAGTAAACTACCTATGCACCATTTTGTTCTTGGTCCAGATGTGTAAAATGTCACTTATTTCACATGTTGCAAACCCTGCTTAAAAGATGTTCCAGCATGTGTTGGCTGTCAACAGCTCAAGAAAGGCCAGCAATGTTAACTAAAAATTAACACTATGATTATTTTACCTTGCTAGTTTTCCACTCCCAACCATCTCCTATCTGCTGAGAATGTTTAACAAATTCTTCACAGTACTGCTTGAATCTTTTTTCTTCCAAAAAGAAGTCCTCTTCACCTGCCATGTTGCAGGACATCTGCAGAGCAAAATAAATGTTAGCAGTGACAGATTAAATGAACACTAAAAACCTTCCCTGGTTTATAGTAATTGAATACTAAAATAACAAAGCACTGGTTAAAAAAAAAAAAAATGTTTCTTTAAGTAAAATAAAGACACGTTTCTTCAAGTACATTACAGAATCACAGATAAACAGAATGGTTGAGGTTGAAAGGGATATCTGGAGATTGTATAGTTCAATTCTCCTGCTCACAGTAGGGTCAACTAGAGCAGGTTGCTCAGGATCATTTCCAGCTGGGTACTGATTACCTCCAAGGATGGAGGTGCCACAACCTCTCCAGGGAACCTGTTCCAGTGTTCAATTACCATAGCAGTAAATAATTTTTTTTCTGTTAAAATGAAAAAATGTATGTTTCTTTGTGCTCATTGCTTCTTGTGCTTTCACTGCATGGTACTGAAAAAAGTCTGGTCCCATCTTCTTTATTCCCTCCCATCAAGTATTTATACACATTTATAAGATCCCATTGACCCTTCTCTTCTACAGGCTGAAGAGTCCCAACGCTCTCAGCCTTGCCTCATATGTCAGACACCCTTCATCATCTTTGTGGCCCTTCACTGGACTTGCTGCAGTATGGCATCATCTTTCTTGTATTGGGGAGCCCAGAGCTGGACAATGTATCGCAGTTTTGACATGCTTCCTTTTCAGTATAGTCCAACGGGCAACCAGAAACCTGAATCTACTTGTGGGCTACTTCCATGGGACTAACACCTTTTCCTTGGATAACTGAATGGCTCCATAAAACCTCAGCAGCTCTAGTGTTGGTGGACCCAGAACCTACGTGATAGCCACCAGAGTCCACCTGAAGGATCTGTTCCTTCTCATGACAGCAGTAGAGCTCTGTGGCCCAAGTATGTGGCTTCAGGGGTGTTATAGGGTGCTTCAGATGAGCTCCTTCCCACCCCTTGAATGCCTCCCTCCTGGGGTCTTAAAGATAAAAGAAAAACTCTCTCAGAGAAACTAGTCAGTTTTACTCCCCCTACTTTCAAAGAGGATGTATCATAAATACAGGTGTTTCAATGTGTTTCTAGGCATCAGGCATCAGTGCAGCATCACATACTCAGTAACTATTAAAACTAGATCACATTTTCTTAATGAGCAATACAGAGGACACAGCACCTCATGCGGTATCATTTTTCAGGACCTAGACCTAAATGACAGCATCACCCTGTCTGCCCTTGACATAAATTACTTATATAGGACTTGAAAACACGTTATTTTCAATGGCAGCTAACCTAAGCCCCCACTATTGTTTGTGCTACCTGGATGTCAAGAGGAAACACGGAAAACTGACACTGCAAATGTTTCTGCAGCTCCCGAGCTTCCCAGTCCAGAGGACAGACTGCAAAACTGCGGGAAGCGCACGTCGTGAGAGCATCGCTTAACGCACAGGTTTCAAGCAGAGCAGCGTGCTGTAGGAAATCGGCAGCTGCAAGGAGACACCAGGCTGCTGGCACCTGTGCAAGCACACCTCCCTTCCTTTCTTAAACTACCCCGAAGAGTTGAGTGAGGGCCAGATCCGAACTCATCCGTCCCGCCAACCCCCCCTGCCCGCCCCGACGGCACCGCTCCCCCGGCTCTGCCCTCGCCCTCAGCCCCACCCCGCCGCCCGGGATAGCCAGGCGACGGTCCACCGGGGCTGACGGGCTCGGTGCGCTGGGGGTGAGGCAGCGGCGGGGCCCGGGGTCCCGCCTGAGGCGAAGCGCGGCGCGGCGGAGGCCGCGCCCGTAGGAAGCGGAGGCGCAGGCCCGGACGCGGCCCCAGCGAAGGGCGCAGGCCGCGGAGAGCAGCACTGAGCAGCCACACTGCACCGCCCACCACGTACCGTCCTCTTCCTCCTCCTCTTCCTCTTCCACCTCCTCTTCCTCCTCCTCCCGCCGGCACACGCACGCACACACACACTCGCGCGCTCCGCAGCGGCCGGCCGGGGGTGGCTGCGCATGCGCGGGGGGGCGCGGGCGGGAAGCGCGCGCTGAGGGGATGGCGGCCCGGCCCGCCTCATCCCGTGAGGGACGGCGGTCGGGCGGGAGCGTTTTCGGCAAGCTCTTCTGTCGCCCAGCTTTTCGGTCAGCCTCCTCCTCCCGCCCCCCCGAGAAGTGTGTTAGCGCCAGATCAGTTTAGTTCAGGCTGGCCTTCCTCCAGCAGCTCAGCAATGCCGGCTTTATTCGAATGCCTCTAATTGGTTTTGCAGACTTAATCGCCCTTCTCTCCCAACAATATAAATACATAATGTTATTACTTTTTTTCCCTAGCGAAGGCGAGGAGGGGAGGAATGTGAAATTAAAATGGCCAGGTCACCTGAGCAGTCTTGTAATGTAACACGAGGGGTAAGTACTGGAGTAGTCCAAAATGGTTATACAGCTGTCTGGAAGAAAATAAAAAATTCAGGATCTCACCAAAACTGTAATCCTGACCTATTTCTAGGAGATGCCCAGTGTGTGTTTTCAGTGTTCATTGTGTTACCCAGCTGCATTGTCCTTATAATTGCTTTTAGATCTGAGAATTTGGTAGGTGCACGGAAGCTGGTTTGCTACACAAATGTTAGAAGATTTCTAAATTTACGAGTCTATTAAACCATACATTTTTCAGTGGTAAGGTTTTGTCTGGCATGACTAAGCTATCCAAACCATAGTATGTGCAAAATGCTATACATTTGGATAGACTTAAGTGGAACATAAAACGTTGGCTTTACCTATTTAGCTGTAAACTGCCATTTCAATGAGTTTTATGACTGTTGCATTCAGAGTAAACAAGAGCTTTCCCATCAGCTTTGGAGATCATACTGCGCAGTGGAAACCCTCCATATGCAAATGGTGCTTTTCTCTAGCTGGTTGTAATGGGATGTTCTCCAACTGTGCAGATCCTAAATTGCTTGTAATTTGCTGGGTGTGGAGAGCTCACAACGGCCAAAGTTTTTTGCTGGAATATTCCTGAGGTAAACCATTTCTCTTTGTTCTTAAAATTCCATGTTCTAGATTTTGACTGTTAGCAGCTGAGTTCTTCAAATATGTACCATGATTCAGATTTGAAGATAATTTTCACTACTCTTTGTGAACAATAAAATGTTCCATCTAAGTCTGTAGTTTTCAACATTAGGTATACATAAGCAAAGTTTTGTTTCATGAAGGTATTTTGGAGAATGATTAATTGTGTGATGTGATTTGAACAGACCATGGTACCTCTATAGATTGCTATTTTAACACATATTTTTTAAATCAGTTGCATAGCTTGGGTAATGCCATTACAACTACATGTTGTGATGCTATAGTCATTATTCAATCATCAGAATTAATTATGTATATTTTTCTTCCCTGTTTCTGGTGTTTTAAAAATTGGTAAGTAAACACCATGTTATCATCCAACCTGAGTTTTGAAGGAAGATTTTTACATTGTAGAATATATTCTGTGAGCCATTTTTACTGACAAAAAATGCCTGTGGTAGTGAAAAAATGTCACATAATGTGCATTGCCTAGGAAGCTACAGCTCCTGATTTCTAATTTTATCTTTGTTACTGTCTCTCTGGATTTTCCTAGGGAAGAATCATTGGGTTTAAGACATAGCTCATTTTAAAAGTGGCTGATAGGGCTGTAGTTTTGCATTGAAGGTGAGCAAAGGAGTCGCCATGACTGTTAGTTTCCAGAAAACTAAGCCATATTTTTCATGTATTCAGATCCATTTACTTTATTTATAATTGTAAGTACACAGCCCCTGTAAAAATCAAGGACAATCCATTCAGTAACAAGGATCTCAACACCAGTGGTCATTTTCAAAGAGTATAGGCTTTAGCCATACTGTTAAGAGTGTCACAGACAGACAATATTATCTATGGACCTTAAACTGAACGTATACAATGTTAAGTAATTATGTATTGTTAAAAATAAGAAACAGTTGACCTAAATATGCCCTTTCAAGACTTGCTGGCTTCCTCATGATGAGCATAACTCTTTGCGATTCAGAAGTTAAAGTCTAATAAGCATAACTTTGAAAAACTGTTAGTATCCATACGTTATTGCTAACAGAGGAACTCTGTATCTCTGTGTAGGTAGGATACTGTACCTACCAGAGATGGATTCTAATCCTGGCTCTGCTGTTGACAAATTTGGGCTAATGTTTTCAGTTCTCTATGTCCTTTTCCTTTTTTGTCTGCAGAGCAGATCAGATTCATGGTATATTCTTACAGCATCTGATATCAGCTTGGTCATCTCCAGTGTTCTTGCCAGGGCATTTCAGTAAGTTGCAGTGAGTGCCTCTTTATCAAGGGAAATGCATTTGCTGTCGTTCTAAAATTACTTGACAAGAGGTTCCAACATGGGCGTTTCTCTCCTTTCTCTTCCTTCTCTTGCCTGTACGCTGAATAAATGCCTCAGGTTTCCATCTCGTCTCAGCCATACAAAAGCATTAATAGTCCTGTTCCTTGTGTCACTCCTTAGAAGTTTATACACTTAAAACAAATAGATGTGATAGGTAATCAGACCAGTTTGGTTTATTCTAAATATATTAATATATACTTATTAATACATATTTTCACATATTCATTTTTTTTTTAGAGTAAAATGCAGTTGTAAAAACTTCATTGGTTGGAACTTTTAGAACTAAACTGAACAAAGATCATGCAGAATAGTCCTTCATCAGCCAAGTGGTGAACTGCACAATCTCTAAAAGGTCCTTTCATCTCTTCATCCTGTTGTTTGGTCCCAAGAAACACAGCTTCATTCAAAACCCGTTGATCAGTCGAGCAGTACAGGCAACACTCTACTCTTTAAAGAAGAAAGGTACTATTACAGCTCTTGGACTGATAGAATTAACACAATGTACATTTAATTTCACAAATCCTCCTTAGTACGGTTCAGATCCTGAGCAATTCACAGTAATTCTAATGCTATGTCTTCCACTTTGGTTTTTGATTACTCTTGATTTCCAGTGTTGAGAAATGTTGCTAAACAAAAAGAGATAATAATCTATTATTGCTTGTGCCTGGCAGTACCTGGATTGGAAAGTTTTATAATAAAGGAATATTGCCGGGTGAGCCAAATAAGAAATAATGGCATAGCCAAAGTAAAATGCTCATGAAAATGTCTCGTGAGGCTACCAGACAGCATGTTCAAACCCAACGTATCATTTGTGCTATAACAAGCAGTTTCTTCATTTGCTGTACTACTCTGGTCCCAGGAGCAAATGTACCCTATCTACAACTTAAGAAAGATTGCATATACAGGCAACCTCTGCAACAATGAAATGCTGGATTTCATTCCAGTTGAAATTTATATTAGCAAACATTCACGATGACTGCTTAATTTAAATCTCTTCATTGTCTGTCATTAAATTAATAGTGCTTGTGGAGACTCTGCACTGATAATACATAACAAGAATTAAAAGTAAGATATCCTACATTCTTCTGCTTTACTTGTTTAGGAGACTTCATAGTTGAAATTCTCCTGACAGAAGTTGGTAGGTGGAGAGTTACTCTTTCAAAATTGTTAACAAACCTTATTTTTCAATAATCACTGTAATGTTACAGTGCTATTACTAAGTAGGCAGTGTTTTTTTCCCTTTGCTGGCAGAAAAAGAGGAATTAAGTAACTTGTTGAAGGCTGCGGTGACTGTGTTAGGCTGGCAAATGGAGCTGAATTTTGTAGATGCATGGTCTGTGCCTTCAATATACCTGCTCTGGGCCCTGTAATTGTTCTGAGGGAAAGTTCAAAAGGAAGCAAACTGAGAGGTAAACAAACAGCATACATTTTTCATGAGTATTTTTATTCCACAACATCAGCTACCGACCAGCACTGAATAAAGTACTAGCATAATGCAGCAATTGTTGCCATCATATGGTTTTGGCAATTTTTCCTATTTCTTTCTGTTTACTTTATTTTATCTAGAAGTTTAATAATTCTTTCAGGCTTCAGATTTTTTTTTTGCTTTTGCTTTGTATGCTCTTTCTGTTATGGCTATTCATGTTCCATTCTTGTTTTATTTATTTTTTTTTTTTCCTATTAGACCAGTACATATTGAAATCAACTTCAGACAGGCCACATACAAAATACTCATGTCATTGATAGAAAATACAATAGCAGTTGAAGGCCTCAAAAACATTGCTCCTAATCAGGGAAACTGGATTTGGGGGATGTTGAGAATAATGAGAAGGACTAATTGATAAAGATATATTTTTAAATGGACTTAGAAGTTCATGGTAAAAACAGCATTAAAATATCTGCAGACAGTGAAACAAAGGTCATTATAATGCAGGATTACATGAAAGTACTGTTAGAACCTGTAGTAAATATATATAATTGTAACAAATAGGCAGGTTACCATTTGTCTCTCATGTTTTATTAAACCAGCAAACCTACACTACCACTGTCCAGTTTGCTAAAATCAGCAAATCAGAAACCAGTTCAAAGTACAGTGTGTGAAATATTTTTGTTCAGGGGGCTAGCTAGGTCAGCACTAGGATTCATTTTACACATATAAGGTAAGTAAAGCCTAGTGCTAAGCTCCAGTGTAAACTATTCCAATTATTCATCTGGTATAGATCTACAGGCCCACGTATAAAATTAGCAGCTCATAATTAACACTGAAATGAGTCAAGACAGACAGATGTTGATGCTCAGAAAACAGGATTTTATTGTTGATTCCTACAAAATATTATGAACCCAAAATTATATAATGTAACATGCAAAGCTGTGTTTTCAGAATATTTTCCTCAGATGATCGATAGAAAGGTCAGGAAGAAAGCTGCCTGGATGGGACATGACAGGCAAGAGCAGGCCAATTAATCATCTACCTTGTGAGGAGGAAAGACTTGGAGCTTGACTTGGAGGTTTTCTGTAAAAGTTAAGAACTCTGTCATTTAAGGAGACTGACTGAACTGAAGAATGAGAGGTTATTTCTTCATAAATGAAGAATGAGCGATTGTACATTTTTTTGTAAAGTAATTCAGCAAGAGAAACTATCCAAAACTGTAAGGGAAAAAACCAAGCCAAACAAAAACAAAACAAAAAGCTTGCACCCTCCACTATCATTTTGTCACAGAAAAACATATGAACATACTGTCCATTTAGAAGCTAAGCAAGAAGTAATACGAGTAGTAGTGGACTTCACA